TATATTATGAAAAGAGTGTATAATATATACATTTCTTCTGATATATTTCTGTCAACTTACTATTACTATGTACTATTATTTATTTTCACCATTATCCACAGATCTACGACACTTACTTAGCCCCTTACACTATGACTTAATTATGAGAAACTGTTCACTGTAAAATTATTCAATTTTAATATTGTTTAAATACTTCTCAGTTAAATTAAATGTTTATTTTATTATCTTATATTAATTATTATTAAATTATTATTAATTATATTATTAATTTGATATAATTCAAAATATTTTTCGAAATACTACTCGCGGTAATTTCAGTCTAACAGGAATGCAATTCACGTTTACGTGGTTTCGCGTGAAAAACAAGTTAGAGTCGTTATCATAATATAAGGGGTTAAGTGTATACGCGTTACAAGTCGCTAGTTCTGACGTTAATTCCTCCGTAATTCCGTTTCTTTATTTACCCATCCGGCCGCGCGCGGCGCTCGCGTCGCTGTTTCTTGCCGCGCCTAGCGCCACCGCGGCGCGAGGGTGGGGGTAACGCAGGAGTTGGGGGCGGGGCAAGAGAATTTAAATTACGCGCGTCGAGCTCCGTCATAAATTCGTTTCTCGACCGCAATTTTCCGGATTATGCCCGTGGCCTTCCGCTGTGCCTGGCAAACTTTTCGATTACAATGAGCCGGTGCCATAAATTCTCGACGCAGGAAGCAGCTGCGACTACGTACACGCGGTAATTCCCCGCGATTTGCTTGCCCACCACCGCCCTGTTGCGTTCGCTTTTCCACCATCCACTGCACGTGCAAATTTGTTTCCGAATTTCAGAATAGGTTCGCATGGTCGATAATTGGATGTTCGTTTTGAACGAGGAGATTCTGCGTGGATTTAGTTGACTGGTAATTAGGTGAGTCGAGGTAATACTATGTGGCAGATGTGTTTTAAATAGGATTTTAAAACAGGGAGAAGCTGTGAATAAAAATAAATATTTTTGGTAAATATAAATTTAAACATTTATCGTATAATAATAATATCTTTAAAATATCAATGGGGGGTAATAAAATTATTTTAAAATAGCGACATGTTATGACTAAAAATTAAACATTCGTTTCAAAATGGCGGATTTTTAAGAGTTTTCATTAGGGTTCGTGTATATTTCCGACTACAAAATAATTATTCCAAGATTAGGATAGACTACGAGTAAAAATAAAAATCGAAAAATTCAAATAAAATGAATATCTTAAAAAATTATTTTAGAAAATAAAAATTTATTGTAGTTTGATCATTTTTATGGATCGTTATATGCAAAAATATTTTCTGTAAATATATATCTATCATGTCGAAGAATAAAAATTTATCATACAATAATTATATTTTTAAAATATTAATAGGGGGCAATAAAATTATTTTAAAATAGCAACATGCTATGACTAAAAATTAAACATTCGTTTTAAAATGGCGGGTTTTTAGGAGTTTTCATTACAGTTCGTGCATATTTACGACAGTAATATAATTATTCCAAGATTAGAATAGACCACGAATAAAAATAAAAATCGAAAAATTCGAATAAATTAAATATCCCAAAAAATTGCTTCAGAAAATAATAATTTATTGTACTTCCATAATTTCTATGGATCATCAGATGTATATTGTTTCATTTTACTACACGGTTCCCAAGTTGATCGACGCATTAGCACTGAATATTTATAAATAACGCCATTAACGTAAACGAAAAATCAACCGAATGAAGTTAACCAAGCTCGCCGCAATTGCGAACAAAACGCAAAATAATTACAAACGAGAATTACCTCTGGCGAATTACCGTTACAAAGGAGCACCGCGCGAAAAGGGGCAAAGAAAATGAAGAATGCTCAATCTCATTTGAGCTCACTCGAAACCTCGTTTCCGAACGCGAATTCAACGCGGAAAGCAACGTTCCGCGAATTAAACGCATTCTCCGCGAAGAAGATTAATCTCTTAACCCAAAATCCCGCCGTTCATCCGTTATCGTACTACGAATTCGGAATATCCGCGCGGCATAACCAACTTCCTCGTCCCCTTCCGCCGGCGAAAAAGGAAACACGGATGCTATTCAAACGAATTCGACCGGCAACCTCGTCTCTCGATCCTTAACGCGCTTTCGAAAATTTGCCTCGGAAGTCGGCCAAATTAAATAGGAACGCTTGGGAACGTAGTCAGACCGGTTTGCTGGTCGCGCGTTCGCCAAACGAGTGATCCGTGGGAAATAACGAAAACTGCAGAGAGAGAGAAAGAGAGAGATAGATATATACGTGCATAGATAGCGAGGGATGGAGAGAGATACACAGACACGGTGGGAAGGGAAGAAACAGCGGCAGATAACACGGGAGACAGAGACAGATACAGAGACACAGAGACGAAGAGAGAAGGAAAGCAACACAAGCAGACAAGGACAGACAAACATACACGTAGAAAGAGAGTAACTGAGAGGAACAGGTATTGAGAAATATACACGTACAAAGACAGAAACCGAGGGAAAGTTATAGCGAGAAATATATACGTACAAAGAGAGAGGGACAGAGAGAGGGAGTGTGTGAGAGAAAGAGATAGTGAGAGATATACACACAAAGAGAGAAATTGAGAGGAAGAGATAGCGACAATATACACGTACAAAGAGAGAAATTGAGAAGTGAAGAGACACGTGCGCCAAAGAAACACACGTGCAAAAGGAAAAGAGAGAGAGGAACATACGTAGAAAGAGGGAAAG